GGTGACCATGCTCTGCCCTTGTTCAGGCGCTTCCTGTTATAGGGTGACCATGCTCTGCCCTTGTTCAGGCGCTTCCTGTTATAGGGTGACCATGCTCTGCCCTTGTTCAGGCGCTTCCTGTTATAGGGTGACCATGCTCTGCCCTTGTTCAGGCGCTTCCTGTTAGAGGGTGACCATGCTCTGCCCTTGTTCAGGCGCTTCCTGTTAGAGGGTGACCATGCTCTGCCCTTGTTCAGGCGCTTCCTGTTAGAGGGTGACCATGCTCTGCCCTTGTTCAGGCGCTTCCTGTTATAGAGAAATCCCAATTGTGCTCTTGTGTTGTCCTCCCCTCACATTAGCTTCTGATGGAGACTACAAGTGGCTGTTTCAGCACACATTCTACAAACCTGGTCAGCATGAGGAAACCCGCCCTGAGAAATGCCAATCCTGGAGTGCATGTAGACAGGAAGCTGCTCAGGAGATCATCAAAGAGATGTATCAAATGGGCTTCACTTCTTGCTCTAATTTTACTTCCATGTTTCTGCTTTTATAGTGTATAAGACATTAATCTTGAGATTTGGGAGCTCTACAAGCAACCACCACTACCACCCCGGAGTCCTTATCCTTATTGGAGTTCTGGTGACTCGGCCCGGAGCCCCAGGATCAAGATGACCCCCTCCGTCCAAGACAATAAGAGAGGTGAACGCCATGATGCGCCCAGTTAAGGTCATGTTGGGGGTGAGCTCTGCCATGTTGGGGGTGAGCTCTGCCAATGTAGGCCCCAATCCAGGGACCTCCTCAGATGAGCAAAGAGGATACCCCCCAAGGGCTTGAGGTCAGTGTGCCTGCAGGAAAAGATACCGACATGGCCATGACTGTCCTTTTCCCTTGACACCATGTGGACTTTCCTTCCCTCCTATCCCAGAAGAAAGGGCTATTTATTTTTTTGTTCACAAAACTGCTCTTTAGTAAAAAACAAACAAACAACGAAGTTATATTTTGTCTTTAAATCCTAAATGAGGCATGAACCCCCCCATAAGATTGTAGGCTTGTCAGGATCCGGAGCACCCCCCAGGTGGTGCTGGAGCCATGTCCTGCAGTTCCTGTGCTCGCCTGCGGGTGTCTCCAGCAGCCAGGGACTGTAAGGAACCTGCAGCTCCAGTACTCACCTGCGGGTGTGCCCCAGCTGTGACGGATCATCCCATCACCTGGCGCTTCCTGGGAGGGGATTTAGGCCCTAACTGCAGTCAGGAACCTGGCTCAGTATTTGCGTCACCTGCACTTGACGGATTCCCATAAACCTGAAACCCTGCTTCCTATCTGCAGACCTGTCACCGACCCGGCTTGTTACCCGACCACTCTCTTGGATCCTGTTCCTGTACCGTGCTGCTGCCCTCCTGTTAACGACCCGGCTTGTACCTGACCACTCTTCTTTTATCCTGAGGCCTGCCATATATCTGCAGGCCGGTTACCCCCTCCTTGTTGCTTCCCCCTGGCTGTAGGTGTGTGTTTGTCCCAACGGTCGGTTTATTACGTCACTGCTAAACCTGTGGGGAGTTGAGGGGGTTTGTAGCTTTTGTTGTTGTGTAGCAAATAAACTGTGTGCATAGAACCCTATCCTGTGTGGGCATATTAATTTGGTCATCCTGCGTGGGTACCTGCATGAGGTGTGAGGACGCCTGTACATGGTACCCTGACAAGGCTTGAGCGTGGTCATGACTCTCAGTCCTGAAGAGGTCCTTTTTGGTCTCCCAGAAAAATTTGAGGATTGTCGGTAAAGACAAGAGAAGTAACCAGTTCCACTAGCAATGCCCCCCAAATGTTACCCCCAAGCTTGGCTGAGGGATGTCTGTCAATCAAATTAAATATTCTGCAGAGTTGGACCAACACCTGTGATGGCTTCTGCACACCACCATGCCTCTGGTCTTTGTTCGGTTAAAGTACTCGATCCTAGACTTGTGTTTATATATATTTGTTAGGTTTTTCTTTAAACAGACAATATAATAAAAATTACTAGTTCCTCCCTCAGAATCATCAATTCATATTTCTTGGAATGTTGTATGCATGCATCCCCTGCCATGTGCATCCGATGGTGGCTCTAGTGCTTCAACGGGGAGAAGAGCATTGGTACAGGCCACCAACGGGGAGAAGAGCATTGGAACAGGCCACCAACGGGGAGAAGAGCATTGGTACAGGCCACCAACGGGGAGGTCTACTACTGCTCCTCCTAAAGTGCAGGGACTCTGGTCTACATGTGTCCCTAGTCTACACAGTAGTGTTTGGAGTTGGGCTTTAGCCAGCCTGAGCTTTATCTGGGTTTGTTGAGTTGCTTCTTAGCCCAAGGACATTGTTTCCTTTCTGCTATTCATAACCCAATTCATTGTAACTCTTCACAATAGTTACTGGAGAACATAGTGTATTGGGTTATGAATATTCTTCAGGCAATCCCTGAGGGGCTTATGCCAACGATGTGAGATAAGGAATGTGATGAGAATTTGGAGAGACCTTCTAGAAAGGTCCTTTTTTGCCTGGAAATTTTAATGGTGGAAGCGGGGCCGTCTGTAATATTAATTTGGACCCTAGGCAAGATTCTGCCCCCACAAACCTCCTGCCTCAATCGCCCTTCTTGACCCAGACCCCCGTATCCACCTACCCCAAATAATTTACACTTAATCTCAATGTCCCCAACAGGCACCAGTATAGCTCTCATTGGCCCCGGTAGTCACCACTATAGAGCTCGGTGGACCTGGCGGCTACCAGCACAGATTTATATGCCCCCAGCAGGGATCGCTGTACTCCTAGCAGGCACCTCTGTGCCCCCAGCAGTGGTTCCCCAGGAGTGCCGGCTGATGACTGAGATCTCCCCACTGGATGGGCCGCTTGTCTTTTACCTGCCACTCCAGACTAAAAGGACAGCTGCTCTGGGCACCTGTAAATTATGGGGCCCAGGGCAGTTGCCCCCTTTTGCCCTGCGGTAAAGATGGCTCTGGGTGGAAGGTTTTTTGTTTTTGTTTGTTTTTTTTTCTCCCAGGCCTGCTGCCTGAGGATGGTGTAGCTTCAGAGGGGCCCATTCTTTGCCTCCCAGGCTATGTCTGGTGGAGGAAGCCGGAGCCAATAAGTGTCAGCTACCTGTCTGGGTCTAGAGCATCCTGAACTGACATGTGGCAGAAGTCTGATGAATCCTCAGCTGGTCTGTGGCAGAGGGCAAAAATGCATTAAGACTGATGCCCAGATGGGCCTACAGAATCTGCACTGGCCTGTTAGAGGCATAAAGAGTCCTCTATCGTGTCCAAGGTTGAAGATACTAAAGGTAGCCTTCCAACTCGGCATACAGAATCCACACTGGCTTCACGCAGAGGCATAAAGGTTCTAGAACATGGAAGTCTGTTGGGCCCAATGAGGTCATCAAGAGTGTCTTAAGGGGAGGGGGTATTTGCTGCTGTTTTTGGGTATCCTGTACCCAAACCTTCTCTCTCCTGAACCATTCGGACAATACGTTTGAAAGGACAAGGTTAAAGCTACGGACGTCTGTCCATCTGTCACCATCGATGTGTTTGGGGTGTAGCTACAGGAGGAGAGCAGAGGAACCCATTAAAATCTAGCAGGTCCTTGGGCGGTGGTGGGGGGGTCATTGCTACACCAGGAACAACATTGAAGGTTTTCTGGGGACAGTGACATGGTTGCTTTAAAAAAGATGAAGCTGAATTCGTGAGAGCATTTAAATGCAGCGAAGTTTAGACAGACGCCGACCGCAGGATTGCTTCCCAGCCACGATTACCTCGATCGCTGATTCCTTTCATTCCAGGAAAGGACGGATTCCAAAACACTTAAACAACTGAAAATATTTCTTCCATCAATACAGAGAAATCAACCTTTGTACTAAGGAGCTAATCTGAAGGCCGCATGGAGTTTGGAGGTCTGTAGCTATTGACTCTGCAGACAGTTGCCGACTTCTGCGCACTGTGCGCTTCAGCTTGCGCTGACCCCGCTCTGTCATGTTACTGGGCCGACCACTTCCTGGCTGAGTTGCTGTTGTTCCCAGTTGCTTCCACTTTGTTATAATCCCAGTAACAGGTGACCGCGGCGGAATATTTAGTAGCCGGGAAATGTCACGGACGGACTTATTGCACAGGTGACAACCTATCACGGCACCACGCTTGTAGTCACCGAGCTCCTGAGAGCGACCCGTTCTCTCACCAATCTCTGTAGAAGCGTCTGCATGCCGAGGTGCCTCATCCTATACACCGGGGGTCATGGAGGGGATTGGAACACCTGAATCCAATGATTTGGAGGGGGAGGGGCCCAATACTTTTGGCAATATAGTGTATAGATGTATATCTATCCTGATTATAATATTTATTTTATTTTTCTTCTACTTTCTCTGTATTTTTGCTGAGTATCCTCTCATGACTTGCTTACAATCACACCTTTGCATGCTGACAGAAGTCACTTTTGTTACTCCAATCAATAATAACATTGTCATTCTCTCTCGCTATCTTTCCCCTGAAGAGACGCTCCCTTAAACCCAGAAGCGCGTTGTTCACATTGTAAACAATGTAACACATTTTTTATATATACTGAAGATTACAGATTATTAGGACGCCTTCCCACGTCTGTATTCCCCATCCTGGAAACAATTCCCTTGCTGGCTTTAATCTCATCCCTGTAATGTAGACTTTTGTTTGTTCCCCTGTGACACATGTTCTGTGGGGGGGAGGAGTCCTCAGGAACAAACTCTCTAAATTGAGTTATTCTACATAAAACATGGATACATTTTGCGCTCCGATGCGTCATCCATGAATATCTGGAGGGCAGACGGACGGACGAGAACCCGCCGCAAAAACAGGAAACCAGGAACGAGCGCGGCGGTGATAAGGCGGCTTCCAGAGTCTCCGGATCCCCTTTTCCAGGCATGAGCTGACGTTCGGGGAATTTTGGCTACCGGAGCGCAGACGCGATGCGCCGTTACATAAGAGGACATAACGCAGAACAGATCCAGTCTCTGCAGCCGGTGGGAGAAGGAAGAAGCAGGAGGGGACTCGGAGGGAGAGGCGAAGATCTGCCAGACTGAGACCAGACGCAACCGACATCGCCATGAAGACGCTGATCGTCCTGGCGCTGCTGGGGATGGCGGCGTTCGTCCTGACCCAACAAGGTTTGACCACTTAAAGGATCTGTCCCTTCTTTTTTTTTTATGCCTTAAAGGAGAACTATGAGGCGAGTGAAAATCACTCAGCCTCATAGTTGGAGCCGACTTGTGGCAACGAAACTGTCACACGTCGGCTCAATAGATCGGAAAGTGAGTACCGGCGCTCGCTCACTTCTCGATCATCTCCCTGCAGAGAGCGGTGACTCTGTCACGGCTGACTGGCGCTGACTGGCGGATTGGACGGGGGAGGGGGCGGGCACTCTAGATAGGCGGAGCCAGCTGTCAATCACGCAGCTGGGTGGATCTCCACAGTAATGTCTGGATCCGTCCCGGCTGCGGCGTCTCCGTATACCGCGAGCTGTAGCTCCCTATATACCGAGCTTTGGGTGACGGGAGGACGCTAGTTTATGTCCTCCCGTGACCCTGAGTAGAACTTTGGGGAAAAACTCTGACCCCATATTTCTTCTTTTTAATATAAAATGTATCATTGCTAATATCTGAAACGTCTGATTTCTATGAATATCTTGTGATCACAAACGCATGCTGAGCTTCCTGATTCCTAGCACAGCGCAGTGATTGAGCTCCACTGCTCTACTCGCCTCAATGCAAATCAACTGACTGCATCGGAACACAATAGAGCCATGAATGCCTATACCTCTGCAATCATTCAGCATGGATGCTGACTGCGCTGTCTGCCGTTCCTATAACCCTTACTTTGATTTACATAGTTTGAAAAATAGACACATTGAGTTCAACCTGTAGAGAGAGATTTTTTTTTTTTTTTTTAATTATTGGGTCCAGTGGGAATATTTCTACCAGAGAGTGATGGCAAGAGGGAAATTAAATCTAAAATCTGTCAGTTGTCACCGGAACAGGAAGTGAGGTGAGATCCCGCTATGGGGACGCCCGTTCCAGTGACATTGGTCAGAGGTGAGATCTCCCTCCACTTTTACAGTCCTGTATGTGGTACTTTTTGGTTGGCTGAATGAATATACTTTGGAAAGCACTTCATCCGGCATCATTTCTACCTTCTGTACCTTCCTGTCCTGGAGGCCCAATAGGAAGTTAGAGGAAATCTTCCCATCGGGGACAGAGAGCTGCTATGTGGCGGGTAGTGTGGCTCTGAGCTGCATTCGGAGCTGCTGTGATCTTTGGTGACTTTCCCGAAATTTTCTGGATAAAAATGAACGGCTAACCCGGCAATCCTGAGCTTATTTCATTTCCCTCCATGCCAAGCCGCACTTCTGTGTATCGGGCCAACATGGGACCCGGGCCAGTATGTATGAACTGTATATACGTGGCACGGTTTTGGAATTGGCAGCCACTGCTCCCTATCTCTGAGCTCAGCAGATCTGGCATAATGTTACTCATTATGGTTAAAGAGGAAGTACGGCCTCCCATATGAGCGGCAACATTCATTAGGAGTTCATCTGCACTCACAGCTTGGTCTTGGTCCCTCAAATGCCTGTTGAACTTGCCAGTGAAGTCCACCTAACACAGCTTCTTGTGATCGGGTGACAACAATGCTGCACTGCTCCTGAGCTCAGAGCAGAGTTGTCGCCCTCATGTAGGCTGGGCCTGCTTGCACTACAGTGGGAGGAGAAGATGATGTAGGGGTGTGGCTATCAGTTGTGTCGCTGCTGATTCGGCGCTCGTCTTTGTCAGTCAGCTGGTTTTTCTTTCAGCGGGTGTCGTTCATCATGCTTGCTAGCAGGGCCGGATTTCCCACAAGGCCAACCAAGGCCCAGCCTCGGGGCAGCAGGGAGTAGAGGGGCAGCAGGGGTGTGGAATTCCTATCTCCCGATGCCTGGCACATGCAGTTCCGGGCTCCGGGCGGGTAGTTTGTTTTCTACATTTAGCCCGGCTTTTTGGCAAGCAGAGCTCAATGTACAGCGGGGAGGCCGCCGCTTGTTTTGTACAAGTGATCCCGGCGATGTCACAGAGATCACTTGTATGCAGCCTGCAGGTCTGCCAATCTCCATGGGG